CCTCCCGAGCCCCCAAGACAACACAACAGTGCCCAGAGAGAGCGCCAAGTCGGTCGAAGAGAGCGTGATGGCGGCCCAGGGTGGCCCCACGACGATCCAAGATGGCTCCAAGATGGCCAACGAGGCCCCCATGTAGCCCAGAAGCGCCTCCAGAGGATCGCCGAGTGGGCCCCAAAAGGCCAGAAACTTGGGAAACGTAATTACATGTTCAGCACATTCACATGTTACGTCTTGACAGCGAACACAACGGCTCAAGTGGCCCCAAATATTGTACCGAGACGGCTCATGATGCCTCCAAGAAGGCCCCAAGACGGCCCAAGAGGGCCCAAAGACAAACCCAGGGGCTTCACACGACGGCCCAAGACAGCTCCTGGAGGGCCCCAAGAGAGCTCCAACAAAGCCCAAGAGAGGGAATACGAACATACGTCTCCAGGCTTTCCCACCAAAGTAACCCCTCTAGCCCCCCCCCCGAGTGCTCTCCAAGAGGCCCCAAGTGGCTTCCGAAACGCCCCCCAGGAAGCCCCCCCAAAACTTCCCACATGCCCATGAGAGTATGTATCCAACAGGCCGTCGTGAGGCATCCTGAGAGACCCTCAGACCTCAGATTCATCCACGAGGCTCCTGAACAAAGATGTAACTTCCACAGTCGTCCGAGACACTCACTCCCTGTGGGGGTCGGCGAAATGGCGTACGCCTCTTGAATCGAGCTGGAGTCGAGCCAGAGGCGAGCTTCAGGAGCGCAGCAGAGACGCCCACAACCGCTGGGCTGCGGCAACCGCCCCCGGCGACCCCCCAAAGCCGAACCCCATCCCCCCGCGGTGATGACCTGCGCGCGGCACCGTGATGTCGGGCACCGTGCGCAGGCCATCAGCGCCGGAAGTGCGGGAGCGGCCTCGGGGTGGCTCCAGGGGCGGCGGCCTCAGCCCAGCGGCTGTGGAGGCCCCTTCTGCTTGGCCATGAGGTCAAGAGACAAACCTCGCCATCGCTCAGACGTCCATTCCCTGTGCTTTTTTCGGTTTCGTGCGTGGTTTTTTCGCCAAATGATCAAGGATGCTCCTCGATGGCCCTCGCCGAAGGAAAAATGTACACGTCCGAGCGATGCCAAGAAACAGGTCCATCAGGTGGGCACCCGGAGTGCCCCACAGAACGTGCGTCCAACGATGGCGCTCACGACGGCCTCCAGGACGGAGGCAACCTGGTGCTCGTGCGCGTGCGCCCTGACGGAGATCAGGTCCACGCGGACGGTCGTCTCGCTGCTGAAGGGGCACACCCGGCGCGCGCGGTGCTTCCGGAGGAAGCCAGAGATTCGGCGCTGCTCCACCTGTATTCTCACGGGGCCCTCCTCTTGCAGAGGAAGAGAAGAAGCATAAGCAGACACTTTCGAAGGTCCGCGCGATGCTCCTGCGTCTGCGCTGGGCCCGCCTCCCTGCTGGGGCGGAGAGCGCGCAGGGCGCGGCGCTGGCGCCGCCGCCAAGGGGGCCCAGCGCAGATCCAAGAAGTACGCGCACACCGTCGACGGTGCATGCTCATGCAGGTTGGTCTTCCTCGATCTTGGTCGGCGTGCTCCAGGAGCGTCAGCGTCCGGGGCAGGTCGCGGCTCACCTGGGCGGCGACATGTGGGATGGGCCGGTTTTTCCACCACCACTACCAGATGTGGGGAAGGGGGGAGGAGGAGGACGAGGAGGGAGGAGAGATTCGCTGGGGAATTCGCCGGTAGCCACACGGTGGCAGGGGGGCAGGAGGAGGAGAGGAGGAGGAGGAGGAGGAGGAGGTGGAGGAGGAGGATGTGGAGGAGGAGGAGGACCTCCCCACCCTCCCTTCCATTCCCGTCCTGCCTATGGCAGGGGTGGCGGAGCATTGGCCCGTCCATGAAGGGGGCCTGCTTTGGCGCGAGGAGAGGCGCGGCGACCCGGCGGCGCGGCTCGCGCGGGCCGCCACCGCGTGGCCCACTCCGCGCATAGAGAGAATGGCGGGCTCCGCGCGCGGCCTCGCGCGACTGCCCACCAGACCACCCCATGCCCCACATGGTCCTCTTCCTCCTCCTCGTCCTCCTCCTCCTCCTCCTCCTCCCTCCTCCTGCCCTCCTCTCCTCTCCTCTCCTCCTCCTCCTCCTCTCCTCCTCCTCCTCCTCCTCCTCCTCCTCCTCCTCCTCCTCCTCCTCCTCCTCCTCCTCCTCCTCCCCCACCCATGGGTACGGGTTCCATGTGTGTGTTCTCAATGTTCCCCGACCCCCCCCCCACCGGAAATGGAGGGCAAATGGCGGCCTTCGGGCTGTGTTGGGGCGGCTCGGTGGGTGGTGGCTCACGCGGGAAGCTTCTGGCGCGAACGTCCGCGCCTTCGACCCAATTCTCTCCCTTCGCTCCCTCTTGGGGTCCGAGCAGGTGGGGTCCGAGGACCCGGCTGCATCGGTCGACGGCGAGCGAGGGGGAGGGAAGTGAGGAGGAGACCTTCTCAAAAGGTTCGGAAGTTCCCCAGCCTTCTCAGAAGTTGTCTAAGCCTCCCCCGAATACACAGAAAACCTCTCAGGAGGCGAGAGGGCCTCTAAGAAGCCCCGCCGCCGTTTGAGGAGGCCTTCTCCTTCTCGTTCCCCCCCTCGCTCGCCGCCGAATCGGCGCTGCGTCGGCTCTGCCTCGGCAATGCATCGGCGCCGCCAGAGTGGATCGAACAAATCTTTGACCCGGGTCAATCCAGACCCGAGTCACTCGGGCCTTGAAGGATTCTGCAGGACCATGCAAGATTCAGCAGGATCCTGCAAGAGCCTGCGCCCAAGCCCGGGCCAATGCGCCCCTGGCCCTGCAGGATTCTGCAAGATCCGGCGCTCTGGCTGACCCCTGAGCCCCGAGTGGCGGGGCGCACAAGGGGGTGGATGGCGGGGTACAGCTGAGTAGAGGGAGGCTGCTTCTCAGCAGGCGCTGGCCTTATGTCTACAGAGAAGGCCCGCGCCTTCGGAGAAGCAGGGGTGCTTCTAAGACGCCCTCCCACCTCCCCCCACCCCCCTCGGCGCATGACTGACCCGAGGAGGAGGAGGAGGAGTAGGAGTAGGGGGAGGAGGAGGAGGAGGAGGAGGAGGAGGAGGAGGAGGAGGAGGAGGAGAGGAGGAGGAGGAGGAGGAGGAGCAGGATGAGGAGGAGGAGAAGGATGAGGAGGCGGACGAGGAGGAGGAGGAGGAGGAATACTAATCATATAATAATACGAAGAATAATGAAAGGAATATCATTAAGAATCAGAGGAGGTGGAGGAGGAGGGAGAAGGAAAATAGTGACACGAAAACTTCGGAGCTTTCTTCCGCCGCTCACCTCCTCGGAGGACAGTGCGCCCAGGGCGATGCCCGCCCCGCTGAGTTGGCCGCCGGCCGCGGCGCGGTGGCCCACCGGGAGGGGGCCCGCCTCAGGGACGCCCAGGCGCAGCCCGCGCACCTCGACCAGGCGGTGCAGGCGCACCGACTGGCCGCACACCTGGTGGACGTCCTCGGGATGATCGACCGAAAAGGGACCCCTGACCATTCCTTTGGGGTGGGACCTGAGTCAGGGAGGCCAAGAACGTGAGGGTTAGGGCTTCTTTTCTGCCGATGTATCCGCCCCAGCCGTCCAGAATGATTATCCCTAACGCGAAGACGGGGTCCTCAGTGAGGCCACGTCTTCGTCGTGTTAGTAGGGTTAGGGGTTCTTTTGTGCTCGATGTCAGGAGAAGGTCGAACAGGACCATCCGACTCCTCAATCAGTGCTTGCACTAAAGGGGTCCTGGCAGATAGTAAAAATCTAGTGGAAGTACCATCCCGATGTCGGTTGCCGGCTGGATTCTCAAACTCCGGGGTTCCCGGTTCCCAGGTTCCTGGCTGCTGGTTCTTGGCCGATTTCGGGATCTCACGATCCCAAAAATTGTTCAAACCATCCACTGCTTGGGGTTTTCCTCTGGTGCCATCTTTTCAATCGCGTCGCTTGTCCGTGATCCAAGCATCTGTGGGCCGCCTTCGGGCCCCAGTACACTCAAAAACGGACCAGGGCGCAAAAAAGACATGTGGGGAGCTCAGCGAACGCGGATGGACATTATCATATGGCCGTGTGCCTGGATAGAAACTGTCAAATGGGCAGTGTTGAAAGGGAGGGGGACCGGCTCAGAGGGGGAAGCATCAAACCGGCCCCTGGCAGCGGTGGGGCTGTAATCCGCCTGTCCCCTACAGGGCCTCCCAGCATAATAAATTAAAAGCACTGTTCTGGAGCTCGCGCCGCTGACTCTCGCGATCACTGTTTTTTTGCTATGTTGACCACTCTCGGCCTGTTATGTTGAACCACTGTATTTTTGATATTCGGGGCGCCCTCCAAAAAATAAACGAAACGCGATCGGTGTGTTTAGAGCGTCGAGCCGAAACTAGCGAAACGACGAAGCTAAATGCGACGACGACTACGCGCCTCGAACTATTTGACACAGCAAACATATCACCGACCGTGCCAACGTCACCGCGCATCCGCGCACGAGCAGGGTGTTGGGGACCTCCCAGAGGAATTTTAAATCGACTGCGGGGGTAAGCAGGGCGGAACCCAGGACCGCACGGGAGAGGGGGAGGGTTGGGGGTCAGGCGGTTTCGTGGCGAAAGCCTCTATGTAAAGCGGGAGCGGGGGTCGGCGTTCTGCCGCGGCCAGGCTTCTGGCGACGCCTCGCCCAGAGGTGAGCGTGGGCGTCGGCACCCCGACGGCGACGGCGACGGCGACGGATGACGACTGACGCCGACAGCGGCGGCGCCTCACTCCTCATGCGGTCCCCGACCTCATTTCCAACGTTCCCCCTCCTGCTGTTGCCCCATACTGCCTCTCTCGTTCTTCATCCTCTCTCCCCTTCCGTGTCCTCCCCGCCTCCCCTTTCCTCCTTCCCCCGTCCTCCCGCCGCCCTCCTCACCTTTGCCCCTCCTCCCTCCTCGCCTCCTCGTACTCCCTCTTTCCAGGGCGCGGCCAGACGCCGTGCGCCCTCCGCCACCGCGCCACGCGCGGCGGCTAATTGCCCACGCGGGCGCTCTCGATCCGCTCGTGCAGGAGCGGGTGCACCGTCGCCGCCTCCGAGCCCTTGATCTTGAGCTTGTCCAGCTTCGCCGCCTGCGCCACGATGCTGGCGGCCAGCTTGATGGCGCCCCCCCCCTCCTTCTTCAGGTAGTTGAAGATCATCCCCTCCACCTCTGTGACCAGGACCCTGTCGCAGATCTGGTCCGAGCGATCGATCGTCGCGGCGTCCGCCGCAGCTCCGATGTAGTCCACCGCGTCAGTGTAGGTCTTCGTCGCCTGCACGGGCATCGCCAAGCAGACGCGCAGAAGGCGACCCCTTCAGTAAGAGCGGGGGGGGCCCTGACCCCCCTCCATCCCCCTCCCCTCCCTCCGCTCACCGGCCCTCCAGTTCCCCCGCCTGCCTTCCACCCCTTCTCAGTGGCCCTCCCCATCGTCGTTTGTGGGTTAGGGGGGTTGTTCCCTCAGGGTCGCCTCCTCCAACTTCTGCTTGGCATCCCTGTGCTCCTTGAGCTTCCAGGTCGTGGTGATGGTCTCCTGCTCGCTCAGGTCTTTCAGGTTGTCCGCGACGATGGAAGCGTGCCACTTCTCCTTGTTCTTGCCGCCAGCCGCGGTGAGCTCCAGCCGCGCCTGCTTCTCGATGAGCTTCTCCCTCTCGATCGCCTCGCAGTGCACCACGACCTTCTTGACCTCGGCGTCGAGCGGGTTGACGACCTCGTGACGGAAGCGCGTGGAAGCCTGTGTCCACGGCTCCTGCTTGATCGTGAGCTTCGCGTCGATCTTCTCCTGCAGCTCACGGGCGTGTTTGATGAGGGAGTTGCAAGCTGAAACCACTCTGTACCCGCTCTTCGCGTCCTCAGCGGCGCGGGCCTCGTCGTTCTCCCCCAAGGCCTCGAAGTCAGCATTGCTACTGATGATGCCGAACGCGTCCTTGAGGAAGTCGTGCAGCATAGTGATGTCTCTGGTCTGGTCTGAATAGTCTGCAGCGCCCTTCTTGAAGATATCCCTGACCTTCGTGTATATAGACAACACGGTAGTCTTGTTGGGCGTCTTCAGGGGCATGTGGTCGATAGTCTTCAGCGCCAAAGACACCAGGGCCTCGTGGATTTTCGTCTTCCCCGTCGCTCCGCAGTCCTGGCCTTCGATGTCTTTCACGAGCTTCTCTGCTTCGTGGAGAGTAGGGTCGGCCACGACCTCCTCCTCAACAGCCTTCGCGATGAGCTGCGCCGCGTCCTCCAGCTGCTTGCTCCGCTTCTGGAGCGCGGCCTCTGAGTTGAACACCTGGCACTTCTTGAGCTGCACGTGGATCATGGGGATCTCTGGGAACATCTTGGCGGAAAGCTGCAGCAACTCCTGTAGCGGCACCGCATTCTCCATACGGGATTCATTTGTGATGGCGGCGTGCGTAGCGTTGCTGAGGTGCGTCAGTGCCTTCACGAACTGACCGACAACGCGCTTCAAGAGATCGTCGCACAACGCATCTTCGTGAGCCTTCCATTTGTGGATCTCCTCGGCGGTCCTTTTCAAACTGGGCCAGGGCTCCGATGGCGACGGCACTGCTGCACATTCCATGGGCGTGCTCAGGAACTTCTCAAGCTGAACGACGATAGGCTGCACGGCTTTGATGACGGTCAATGTTCCATTGTGCGTGATCATTGCATTACCCATCGTATTTGCCCACGCTGCGGACGTCTGAAAGGCGTCGTGGACGTACTTCATGATGTTGTACTCGGTCTTCGGCGCAGAGGCCGACGCGCAGAAGCTCTTGAAGTCGACGTAGTCCTTCTCGTAGGTATCGATGCGAACCCTCTTGTTGGCAACACGCTGGAGAAACAGCACCTGCTTTAAAGTCGAGAGGACCTCGAACGCAGTTCGCATGAAGCCCTGTGGTACTAACGTCTTCCGAAGGTCGGACTCAAGCTCTTGAAGGCAGACCGTCGCGAAATACTCGCAGCTGCTCCTGGAGTCGGCGTCCTGGAGTATCAAAGTACACACCTGGTTGTTGATGAGAACGTCGGTAAACATGGATACGGCTTCTCTGACCGTTTTGTTCGGGATCTGTGAGATCATCGGGTCCAGCGGGAGGAAGCTGAGGTCATCGGTGTCCAACTCCACCTCGGTTTCGTTGAGAGTACGTGTCTCGGCGCCACCGCATGACGGCGCGGCCGTCGGTTCATCTTCTCCGAAGGTGTCCATGTCCGCGCTACCAGAAATAACTTGCGTATGCGACCATGGCCTGCAACGGTTCCAAACTTCTTTGCAAGCTTCTAGTGTAGTCAGGCCGATCGTGCCCTTCCCTGGCAACAAGGTCGCAACCTTCCGCTGGACGAGGGCGAACATGCACTGGGGGCTGAGCTTGTTGGCGGACCCGTCATCCGCAAGGATTGGCTTCAGGCCCTTCTGGAGCTGATCGTCCGTGATTTTGCCGTCGTTGATGAGAGACCTCTTCACTGTGCACACCAGCCTCACGTCAGCCATGTGCTTGAACAGCCGCGAATATACTCCTGAAAACTCGGCTTTCCCCTTCATCCTCTCCAAGAGGTTGGTGGCCTCCTTGACGCTGTTCTTCAGTTTCTGGTCGTCCAGGTGTCCGTAAAGATTGTTCTTCTGGATCCAGTACTCGACCTTCCCTGGGTTGTCCTTCGGGCAATTGCTGAAGTCTAGGTCTTCACTGTCGGCTGCCGAGCTGGCTCCATCAGATTTCCCAGAGTTCGATACCGCATCGAATGAAAGAGATTTCCGAAGCCCCCCCCCCAGCCGCAGCGCCAGAAGCCACATGTCCAGCAACCGCGTCCACCGTTAGTGATGAAGCTGTAGCCGATGAAGACGCAGGCGCGAGGAGACTCGGCACTGGAGGGTACTGCTTTCCCAACGGGCTGCCCTTGACAGGGGAAGGAGCCATCGCCACCTCTTCATCCAGCGTCGGCGCAATGTTGAACCGTCCAGCCTTGCGAGAATCATCCCACACAGGTAAAGGCGAATCATCTGGAATCGCGCGCTTCTGGCCGACGAGCGGGTTCGTGGTGGGCGTGCCGATCTTCTTGTCATCGTCGTCCTCGTTGTCGTCAGGCGCCTTCCCTCTCTTGGTTCTCGTGGGTCTCGTAGCCGCCAGCATCGCGCTCACCAAGGGAACGTCCATCCCAATAGGGTCCGAGCAGATGGCGGAGACGTCGCGGCTATGCCACTCGAAGACGGCGCCCGCCTGACCGATGAACGTCTGCTCGTTGAAGCACAACAGCTTGCGGGATTGTTCGGTTGATACTTTCCAGCTCACGCGCTCGCGCCTGAAACCCGCCGTCCTCTTGTCGCAAACGTCGTCTATGAAGCTGTAGTACTGCCTGTGCTTGCCGTGCTCGTCCACTCCCATGACGATGAAGTCTTGCAGCTTTTTCTTCGTGTCTGCCTTGATCTTCGGGCCGAACACGCTCTGCAATTGAGACTCCGTCAGGAGGAGCCGCTCGTAGAAGTACTCCCGCTGGTGGCCGAGGTCCCCACTCACCTCGTCGTGATCCGAAGACCTCAGGAACTGCGCCGACTCCTGCACGGGGGCGTTCACGAAATGGGATTGCATGGTCGGGGACTGCCTGCACACCTCCACGGCCTTCTGCTCCGAGCCGAGGAACCAGAACAGATTCAAGCTCTTCCAGCCGCAGGGCTTGCACAGAATGGAATCATCCTGAGGAAGCTGGATGAAATACGCTCGGCGCCCCCCACCCCCATTCCGTAAGAGTGCGTGCGTTACCTCTCTGGTTCACTCATTCTTCTTGCTGGTGATCTCCACTGGCCCCCCCCCCCCCCCCCACTCATCCTGCTCATCCCTCCTTCTCAACTTGGTTGTTCGAGCCCCCCGCCCTGGACATCCTACTGCTCGCCCTGCTCCCGCCCCTCTCTCCCCCCCTCTTCCTGACCAATCCGACCAATCCCCCGCTCTGACCCCTCGTACTGATCCTGCTCCTCCTCCTGCTCCCTCCGCTCCGCCGTGGCCTCCCCATTTCGTCTTGGGCGGCTCCTGGCGCTCCGCGGCGCAGATAGCGCAGGCGGGGGCCGCGGCGGCCGCCATGGCAATTGCCAGAATATGGAAATAGATCTGAAAATGATGCGAACGAGCCCAAGCTCCCTGCCCACCTGCATTGGCCCGACAGCCTCACCCTCCTCAGAGCGACGAGGAGGTGGAAGAGGAGGCAGACGGGCCAAGTCAGGCGGCCAAGGAGTTTGGATCAGTTCGAGCTTGAAAGGGTGCTGAGCGCGCATGGGCGCGGCACTGCAGATGGATCGCTCTCGGCGACTTGATCATCTAGGAAGCCTCGGTTCCAGGGGCGGAGACACGGCGGGGTCTTGCATGAAAGGGTGGCGTGAAACCCGTGCTGGAGGACGGGGTGGAGGGAGGGGATGGCGGAGGAGAAGGAGGAAGGGGGACTGGAATAGGGATCGGTTAAGCAAGCGAGAGAGGAATAACGAGGAGGCAAAGAGAAGAGGGACCGACGGAAGTGACGGCATGGGGCCCCTTTCTGGTGGGGAGCCCTTTGTTGAGGGGTGCTTTCTCGTTTCTGGCATGGCCCACTCCAGGTAGGAACCCTTTCTGGAGATAAGTATGTGGGAGCCTTTTCCTGGAGAGAACTGCGAGAGACGTAATTCGTTTGTCTGGATGGGGTATGTTAAGATCCCCTTCTGGAGATAAGCATATGAGAGACGTAATGTTTTTTGTTCATGGTACCTTCTCTGGTTCCGAATCTTCACCTGGGGGATTGGCCGCTTCGGTGTCAGCTGACATGGATGCCCACTGCTCGCCGTACACTACTTTACACAGGTCCCTAGCACGCCTGCGCTCGGGCCGACTGGGGTTGAAAGTTTTGTGGTCCTCGGCACTCTTGTCAAAACTAGCCAGGACCCACGCGGCCCCCCAACCCATGGCCCTACCCTGCCCTGCCCTCGCAGGGAGTGGGGAAGGATAAGCTGCTTTCTCTCGCTCGCAGCGGCCGTGCAGTGGATTGGCACACTTAAACAGATACCGCGGCTTGGCCGCTTCAATCCACGCGATGCCCCCGCCATCCCTAAACGGCAAGGTGCGCCTCCCTGCAGCTGCCCTTCCGTCAAGCGGGGGGGGGGGGAGCGGAGGGCCCTCAGCAGCACCCTCCTCTGGGTCCGGAACGGCCCCAGCTGCGGGGCCGCCGCCTCCGCCTCCTCCGTCTAAGCCTAAGCCTCCCCCTGGGTCGTCCCCGCCAGGCGGGTCGCCGCCGACATCGTCGGATGACTCCCCGTTTTCCGACCCGCCGAACCCGCCGTGATGAGAA